AGGAGGAGAAAGAGGATGTGAAGAATAGAAGGAGAAGAAGAAGAAGGAAGAATAGAAGAAAAGCAAGGGCATTATAAAAGTATCGGTGGGGGTGTTAATTGAAATGTACATTTTTTTTATTCATCCTCATATGTGCTTAAGAGGAATTTCTTAATATATAGGCAAGGACTCAAGACTTATATAATATAATAAAATATAGTTTAATGGTATGCTATATTTATGGGTTAAAGTGGTCAATATCAGGAATAGAGCATATGTAAATATAAAAGTGGACATTGAAGTCAACACCCAGAGGTGACAGTCTGTTTCATGCTAAAAGCAATCATGTTTTGATGATTGCTTTTAGCATGAAACAGACTGTTGCTACTAAAAGTTGACTTCAATGTCCACTTTTATATATATGTAAAAATTTCAGATAGATTATATCTGTAAAAAGAATAATATGAAAAAGACAATAGGAAAACTTAACTGATGCATTTTTTCCTTGGAGAATATCAAGGAACATTTGCTTTGCTAAAGTCCCTCAAAAGATGAAACACCTTGGCTGAGATAAGAACCTTGAGATGAGTAGCAGCAGCACCAGAGGAAGCCACATTGCATCGGTGAGAAAGTGGTTGAATTTGAGATGCCAAGTCAGGTTTGATTATATTACAGATCCTTCTTTGGATTTTGCAGGAGCACCAGACCAATATTCAATGTACGAACGAATGGTAGATTTGTAAATGTATAAGATGGATTCTGACTAGAAAAATTCTCAATTTTCAGTTGCAATAATAGAAGATAAACTTGCCTTGATAAAGTGCCTCAGAGTATGAAATGCATCAGATAAGATAAGTTTTCCTTTAGTTTTCATATATATATATATATATATATATATATATATATATAAAAATACAGAGACGATTATGCAATGTGATTGGCCCTGATCTGGCATCTCATCTACAGCTGTCCTCTCACAGACATGCTGTCACCTCCATCTGTCTTTTCTACAAATGCTTTCATGGTAACTGCTCTGACAAACTACTTTTGCTAGTTCCCAAACTGCATAAATTTAAACATGCTACTAAGCCGGCATCCAGTCCCACCTTTTCATTGTTGAAACAGTTAAATGTAGCAGTCTCTTCTACTCCAATAGCTTCATGTCACGCACCTCCCATCTGTGGAATTCCATTCCTATTACTTGTTTCCCTCATAACTATCATCTCTAACTATTCAAATGTAATGTCAATCAACATCTCCAGATGCTCGATTCCCTGATTCCTTGATCGATTCCCTGTCCTTCCCTTCATCCTTTCCTCTGTCTCTGTAACACCTTGTATGCTAGTGACGTCTTGCCTTGTTTGGAGGAAATGCTTAATATATAGATATATATATATATAAAATATATATATATATATAAAATATATATATATATATATATATATGTATATATTTTTATACATATATATATGTATGTGTATGTATGTATGTATATGTATTTATACAGTTTAGATATATGATTATATGTGTATGTGTATATTCACCACTAATATTATATATATATATATATATATATATATATATATATAAAAGCTATTTGTGGGTATACATATTGGCAACTCTAAAATTTCTATTGCAACACGAGGAATGACTTTGTTGTTTACTTGCATCCACTAAAAATAGGGTCATTGTAATTATGAAAAAGATATTTTTGAAAAGCACAATTAAAAAATAAACAAATGATGATGAGTAGTCATAATGTTTAAATTGTACAGAACTGTAGTAACTACAACAGCAATAACAAAACCAATGTTAGTGGCCATGTTACAAAATTGAAACTATTGAACTGTGAGTCTGAAACCATGTTTGTTAGCTTGCATCTTTGTTTTCTGTGAGCTATTTTCCTTATTGAGCTCTGGCAGTCCAACATGGCTGACATGCAAGGAGAGAGACTGAAGCAATTGTGTTTTCATTTGTTTGCTTTTTGCTGGTAGAAAAAAGTAAAATTGTAAAACAAAACAAAATATCTTGAATTATGGCTGAAGGTATGTTTTTGTTTTTTATTGAATTTTATTTTTGTGGATTGTTTGAGTATTTGCTCCAGATTCCTGTCTGACCTAAGCAACATGTCAAATAGATTGTTCCAAGTGAAAATGTTATTTTTGCCTTCTTTTGTGAGTTTGACTTTCAAAAATCTATAATACTGGTGAATGTGTCTGCAACTTTCCATTCACTTTATGTTTGCAAAATGAAAATGGGATGGCACTTAGATTCAGAAGGGAAAACCCAAACCAAAAGAAAAAAAAGTTAAATAGAATAGAGAAAGGAAGGCAGTGATAAATAATAGAATAGATGAGAAACAAAACGAATGAAAGGTGAAGAAAAGGATAAAGAAAACAAACAGAATGCATAAAGAGAAGAAGAAAAAAGAAAGAAAGAGATATGAATGGGAAAATAATAAAAGAAGCTCAAATCATAGTGAAAAGAATGAAAGAAAAGAAGAAAGGTTACGTCACCTTAGAAAAAAAGTGAAAAATGATAAGAAACAAATATGATATAGTTAAAAAAAAACAGTTGAAAAAAAAAACAAAACAAAACAGAGAATGTATGAAGAAAAAGAAAGCTTGATAAAAAAAGGACATTAGTGTTGAAGATTAAAGTAACAACCAAACTAACTAAAAAGTAAAAAAGTAAAATCATTAAATCAGAAAAATAAATAAAAAATAAATACGTTTATGCCTGTTGATGAAATTAAACTAAAACAACAGCAGAAGTTGAAAAGAAAAGAAAAAATTGTCTGATTTATGTTTTACAGTTTATCAACGTTTTGCAGGTAAATTAAGGCTAGAAAACATATGTTTAGATTGTAAGAAACTTTTGAGAGATAATAATCTACTAATTAACCTACAGATGGAGGGAGAAGATGTGTGCAAGTGAATAAAGTAAACCTGACTAGAATTAGAATTTAAGTTTATGATTTCCAATTTTGCGGCATTATCCATTACACCACCCATACAACTTAAAGCACCTGATATTCCCATATATATATATATATATATATATATATATATATAAAAAACGTACATATATATATATATATATATATATATATATATATATATATATATATATATATATAAAATGTACATATATATATACATATATATATATATAAAAAAACACATATATATATATATATATATATATATATATATATAAAAAAAAATACACACATATATATATATATATATATATATATAAAAAAACATACATATATATATATATATATATATATATATAAAAACGTAATATATATATATATATATAATAATAATAATATTGGTAATCGATATGAAATTTATATTTGGATATAGATCCAGTAAGAGCTCTATATCAATGACAGAGCAATATTTATTATATAATGAAAAACAAACACTTAAAATGCTATTAGGTGATATTTATTTAATTGAGGTCGTCCTCAATAAAATAAATATCACCTAATGCCATACTAAACATTAAATCTGTTATGAAAAAAGAACTAAACAAAATGAACACAAAACGATAAGCTTTAAAAAAGGACTCATAACTGGAAAAACCGAATGAAAAAAGAATGTTAACAACAAATACTTTTTCACATCCAACCCAGTTCTGCGGAATCAGAATCAACATTGAGTTTAAGCAAGTGAATGAGCCAATTGGAGTAAAGTGCCATGCAGATTTAAATTTTTCCCACTTGTGACAAAAGCAGCTATCGATTTTTTTGCATGCTAGCACGCTAGTTAACATTTGTGTCAGTCAGCTGTTGGCTCTCACGCTGGCCAATAGAATCTTCCTGCCTATTCGTGGCAGCCAGCTATAGGCTCTCACTCTGGCCAGTAGAAAATGGCCGCAAAGTACATAAAAACTGGTGTAGAAGCATGAAAAATTGATTATTTCCACTATTAATGAGAGTTGGGAAATTTGGAGTATGTGCATGTAAATTTTGGTGCAAATCCGTCGAAAATTGTGGCTGTGCATTCGTTACACACACACACACATCCTGCCTATATATATATATATATATATATATATATATATATATATATATATATATATATAAATATAAAATTGTGCATTTGAGCAGCAATCACTCTCTCTTTCATTAAAGATGACTGACAAGGTATGGGATTTTTTTTTTAATTATTTTCCAGACATGGTCAGCATATTGTGGCTGTGTACATAGTTGATGTTATTGAGTGTTGGCTTTTTTCTTATTATTGCTTCCATTACTTTTAACCTTTTTTACATATAGATGAGGCTATTAAAGTCGTATTTTTCTACGAGTATGTTGCAGATAAAGTTTAGTAGGCTTTCATGTCTGTTTAAATGAGTTCTAATTGAGCTATTATTAGAGAGCTGTAATGTCGGTCTTCTTGACAGGCATGTAGTGGTATTTCCAATATAATTATTCATGAATTTGGTTTAATCAGGAACACAATTTCTTAATTCATAAATGATATTGATTCTCTGTAATTTTGATCTTGCAGGTGAATTATTGACTATCAGGTTAACTATTTTAATTCTTTATACTAGATAATTAACTTAATTTTCTTGTTCTCGTCAACTGTGGTTGTGTATTTCTTTATAAAGTTTCTAAGGGAAAATTCTTCCTTCTTACAGTTAATGTGCATTTGATTTTTATGGAAAATAATCAAAAAAGAAAAAAAGGATTCCCATCATTCCAGATTCATACAGAAAATATAGTTTTATGGTTTGCTATTCTTATGGGTAAATGTGTTTAATATCTGGGATATACTGTCTGTAAATATGGTGATAGTTTTGTGATTGAACACAATCTTCAGGCCTGAATATTTCATTCAATCATGAAGCAGACAGTTGCCACTCGGTATTCATCTCTGTGCCATCTCTTATATTCATATAAGATGTAAAAGAATGAAATAAAACAACCAATGCTAGATGGAGAAAACGAAACTAAAATGAGAAAAGGAAGAAAAAAATCACGCATCAGCCTTAGTGAAAGTTTAAAAATAAGAATGAGAGACGTAAAATAAATGAAGAATAAGCAAAGAAAGAATGAAAAATAAAAAAGAAAGAAAAAAGAAGTGAAATATTTCAAAAGAATGAAAGATGTAAAATAGATGAAGAATAAGCAAAGAAAAGCTCAAAAGTAAAAAAAGAGAAATATTTAAAAAAAAAATCAAAGGAGAAATAATTGAATCAAAAACTGAAACAGGAAAAAAAAAATGAATGAGATTGTGTAATAAAAGAAACTTCAATCAAGTCAATTGGAAGTGAGTTTTGCTTCTGAAACACTCACTCCATAACCATCTGACTCATCTCTTTCTATCCAAACTTATCTTTTCTTTTGAATCGGCTAGTGATTATATCTTGTGATCTCTTTCAGAAGAGAGCTAATAATGTCTCTGATTTCTGAGCAATTCTCTTCATTTCTGAATTCTGTTCTTGGATCAGCCATTATTGTTCACACAATGTTTGCAACATCTTCAAAACATAATCAGGCCATTGTATGGTGATTCATATTTCTACTTGCCTTTCTTCTTTTCCTTTCACCAAGCAAAGAAAAATATCCTTAAAAGAATGGCAAACTTCAATTCCTGTCATTATAATTATTTCTGTTTTAAAACATTCATGCCAAAATAGCTGAAACTTAAAAATATGGAAGGCAGAGAACGCTTCCTTTTTTTTTTCTTTTTGATGAACAAATTTGAGCAGTCTGAGAAATGCAAATTTTATATTTTTATTATTCATGAGTCTCAAAGAAAATCTAATTGATCTGATCATTGATCCACTTGAAATTGCAAGGTAATCTTTTTCAAGCTAACTTTTTTCCCAATAAATTATCATGCCCTACTTTTTGTCTCACTTGTTTTATGTCTGTATTATGATTTCTACACTTGTGTGCAGTGAACATGTGTGTGAATTGATTTTTGTGATGGCTAGATCCCTAATTATCAATGACAACAAACTGTGTAGTCAGGTAAAATAACTGAGCTCAGCATTACTTAATGAAGAGAATCACTGACAGCAGATGAAGATTTGGGATGACAAATGATTCAGAACAAGAGAGTGAGTAGAACAAATGTCTATGAGGAAATCTAGCAATAGATATGATATTTTCTTTGTGTATATAGAGTAAATGGCCATGATTAAATGCAAATGGCAGAACCTTCCAACAAAAAAAATTGACAAAGTTTGCAATAAACAAGAAAAAGAAAAGAACAGGGCAAAAATATTATAAAGCAGTGATTCTAAACCCTTTTTTTACCCATGGACTACTTTTACTCTTAATGTTTTTGGCAGACCCCCATAATCATTTGATGAAAAAAAGCTTACTTTATTTTTTACAAATGGATATGTTTAGGAATTTTATATAATTTTTCTTTATATATATATATATATATAGGAGAAATAAGTAGAAATTTAAAAAAACACATTTATGAGCACAAAAGAGACTTCACAAAAAACAACTTAGCTAATGAACTAGTCATACATAGAAATAAATTCAACTATAATTTTGATTTTAAAAATGCTACACTCATAAAAAAAGAAAATAACTCACTCAGAAGGAAAATTCTAGAGAGTGCCGCCATAGAATATTACCCAAATATTAATCTACGCCCAGGCTTTTTCCCTATTTCACATTTCTTAACAAAATTACTGCTCTCCCAAACAAACGTATTATCGTAAAATCAAAAGAAAATGATTGAATCCATCAACACTGCTATAATGACAATATTCTCCACACCTGACAATAACTGATGTTATTTTCAGTTAACAATATAAAAATAGTGTTCTCTACAGTTGCTAAGAACATTCTGTTTTTTGTTATTATTAGTTACTTTCTTTAATTAAATTCATTTCGTTTTTTGCTTTGAGAAAGTCCACATTGAACAAAATGCATCAGCAATAACTACAGTTTTTCTATTGTCATTTATATGTATAAATATAATTGTTCCTTTATATATTCTTCTCAGTTTTTATTCAACTTTTACAATCAAAACATTTGGTAGAATAAAAGGGACGCTAACTTATATCTTGTTTTCTGCTAGTTTTGGAGTTGTTTTTCAATTTTTAGTATTTTAATATGGTGTAGATTACTGTAGGAATTCCAATTTTCAATTGTAACAATCATCCTGAAGTGAAATTGCTCTATGCACCACTAAAATATTACTATGGACCCCTAATTTGCTCCTTTTTTTGTGTGGACCCCAAGTAATGTTACATTAACTTTCAGGGTCCATATGGACCCCGGTTGAGAATTCCTGATATAAAACAAGCAAACACTATATGCAAGGCAAATTATCAGTAATAAGGCAAAAAGTTCACAAAACTAAGAATTGGTGTTTGCACGAAGGGTGGATTCAGATTAGTGAATGCTGTATTCTGACTTCAAGACAAGACAGATTGAAACTGAGACAGATGAGACCAAGAAGTGGCCTATTTTATTGGCTAGGAAAAAATCCCAGCATGCATCTGTGTGCTTTTGTCTATAAGTTATGGTGGGGGAAATGTTTTGCAATTTCCATTATTGGATTGGAACCAACAGGGTTCCTTAAAGAGAGAATAAATCTATTTTTCTTTCTGTTGGTCTCATTGACTTTTGATTAGATTTTTAGGGCAAAGAACCAAGGCAAAAAAATTACTGTATGAAAAGGAGATTCTTCTCTTGACATTGGTACTACTGTATACTCCCTTAGTAATTTTTATTGTGTTTTGTTTTATTACAATTTTCTTCTCCTGTGGACAATGTCCTTTCATAATGTGAGAAATCATGGTTCTCCAGAACTTCCTGTCTTTTGTAGTTCTTAGTAAGTTTTGTCTTTTTGATCACCTTCTAATCCTTGTTCTACTAACTATCCACACAACCTCATTCTACTTCTATGTTGCCTTGTCCCTCCAGGACGTGGGCGTTTATGGCTCTCCATAATTCCCTGTCCTTTGTAACTCTTAGTAAATTTGGTCTTTTTTATTATCTCTCCTAATCCCTGTTCTGCCAACCTTTATACAAGCTTGTTGGGAAGATTACCTTCAATTGATCCTGTGAGTTTCAAATTCTCCAAGCCCTCTTTCCTCATTATGTACCCTAGAAATTTCAACAGTCTATTTTTTTTTTTTTTTTTTGTTGGCCTCAGTGACTTTTGATTAGATTTTGGTGATTTATAAAAAAATGGCAAAAAAAAATTTCAGTCTCTGTTGACACTGCCTCAGCTTTTTTTGTTTTTAGAATTTTATTCTTTTATATGTCATGTCATTCCAGGACATTATAGCGCTCTACAATTTCCTGTTGTTTGCAGCATTTAGTAAGTTTTATCTTTTCATCATATCTCTTATTACCTGTTCTGCCAACTGTTTACACAAACTTGTTAGGTAGATGATTCCCTCTGTCTTCTTGTGAGTATCAAATACTCCAAGCCCTCATTCTCCATTATGTGTCCCATAAATTTCAACATTTTCTTTCTGATTCTAAGTATAAATGTCCTTTTTTTCATTTTCCTTAAAACTTCCTTGTTACTCACATGTTCAGTCCATGATATTCTCAGTATCCTTCTGTAGAACCACATTTCTGTTGCATCAAGTTTCTACTTCATATATGATGAGATTGTCCAGTATTCTCTAATAAAACCATTTCCCTTGATAAGTTAACATTTGAACTTGCATTTTTCAAGAAAAAGATCATCAGAAGTTATTATAACATACCCCCATCTCTAGCCAGAAGCATTGAAACCTGGATTTGAATAAGAGAAAAAAAAATGTTGTGTTTGATCATCTTACATATTGTCAAAGCTTCTAAAAATAAAAGCTGACTTCTCAAGGCATTAAAAAAAAATGAAGATAGTTTAATAAGCCTGTAGCATCTGAATGAATTATGCAAAGAGTGTGGGGCACTTTAAAAAAATCCCAATTCATATTCATAAAAAAGAAAATGGTTGATATTGATTTTACAAGTACACCATGGAAAATAATCATGGTGTTTCAATGACTTGCTTGATAATAGAATCTGAGATTGTTGTTTAATTAACTGCATGTAATGATTGCCTTGTAGATATAAATTAAGCAGAATAATTAAAAGATTTTATCAGTATGGTCTTTTAAGTTGTAATATTATTATAGCAAAATTTAATTCAATTGTTTTTTGATTCATTTTTTTAATCATTTAACATCAAGCAAGGCAATAAAACCACTAAGACATAAGGGTTTTGTTTAAGAGAATGTGAAAAAGAAAAAAAACATTATGGAGTGAGAACAATAAAGAACATGACTTAAAAAGACAGTAGATAATGATTGACATTACAACTGTTAGCATAGAACTTATAGTTACATCTAGCCATTTCAAATGTAAAAAGTACTATGCCTAAATTCATAAAGTCCGGGTACTATAGAGAAAAGTTTATCAGAGCAATTATTAAGGAAAGAGAAGAATATAAGAACAAGAATTAAGAAGACTGTAGACAGTGAATGATATTACATTTACATTTTTGAAGATCAAACTTAACTGGTAAGTTAGACACCAGAAGACAGCTCCATAAGTGAGAAGTACAGTTACATCAAGAGATTTGAACTATAAAGTGATGAGACCTTACCGCCAATCTAGTACTGCACTTACATTCATAAAATCTATGTATTATAGAGGAAAGTAACATTTATTTTATTTTAATACAAAAATGTAGCATCAGGACAAAAGGCCTTGTGTCTCATAGGAGAAGGCTGGTCTTCAATCTGTCTTATAATTAATCTTAGTTAGCCATGATTACTGACCCAAATATACCACAGTATTCCTTACACCAAAATAATGCATTCTTACCATTCTTACTGAAGCCACCATAATACCTCAATGTCTCTATGAAGTCTTAACTAGTTCTCATATGTACCGTTTTATTGTGTGGGGTAGGTGAATAAAAATGCTCTAGTGGATAAAAGCATTAGTTGAAGTAATCCAGTAATTTGACTGAAAGAGTTGTGAGTTCAATACCTGGCAGAGGTGAACAAAAACTTGGAGAGTTGTGTTACTAAAGGGAAATAACTGAAACTGAGATATCCTGAAGAGGCATGGCATGTGGAACTAGAACAATCTACCCCAGTGAATGAAATAAAGTTTTCAGTTCAAAATTCCAATGTATATCACTTGAAGTAGGTCAGAGTGTACAATGGCCGAAATGTTATGAATATGACAATAAAGAGGAAGACAATGTAAACAGTGTAAAT